GGAGAAAAGCAGAGCAGGAGAAAGCATGGACACCAGGGTCCACTGCAGATTTGGTCTAGGTAACTTGGCTGGCCGCACGGGTCCCCTGGGAATCCTATGAAACACACCCAGGATRGTCCCTCTGGGCGACAGGGGGACAGCACCCGTCAGTTTTGCCCCCTTGGGGGTGGGTGTTCGCTCACCTGCACTTCCCAACTTCACAGGCAGGAGGGCCCTGGGTGAGTTGTCAGGAGCCCCACAGGGCAGCACCCAGCAACCTCAGGACGGGATGTGAGAGGGACAAGCAGGACCRTCCTGCAGAGCCCCAGCCTTATACACAATGTCACTTAAAAATGTGCCTGTGAAATGTACAGATTTCACAGGTCCACACAGCGATCCGTCGATGACATTCTGGAGTGGACAATAGGTAAGTGCCTACTGTCCTATCAGTACACGGGAAGAATATTTGCAGTGTCTTCCTGTTCATTCCTGTGGAACCCGCCATTCCTGACTAATCGTCTCTCTCCCTGAGCAAAAGTAGCCACGCTGTCATTGCCCACAGTGCCACAGCTCCTCAGATCCCGGTGTATCCAAACACTGTAGACCTAGCACCAGCACTTAACGCAGGTGATGGTGACATCACAGCTCAGGATGCTGCGTCATCTTTCCAGTTGCCTGCGAATCTTGGCTTCCAGTGATTCAGAGGCTGTTAGTGGCTTCACTGATGATGGATGACCACAAACTCGAGTCTTGCCAGGGTGTGCAGGAGACTGTGACRGTGACCCATTTTCAGGACATACATGTGAAACTTACCCCTTTGAACTTTATAAACTCAGAACAGCGCGTCTTCCAGCCAGTCCCTTGCACTCTTGGGCTATAATCACTGCATCCTAGAATGTGGTCTCTCTCAGGGTGGATTTCGCCCCCGCCTGCCACATCCAGCCATCAGAAGGGCCAGTAGGCAAAAGGCCTGCAGGGAGAGCCAGAGGGCAGAGTTTCCACAAGGAGGCCCCAGCAGGGAGACCAGGATGTCACCATGTGGTTCAGARGGGCCTCTTGGAAGCAAGAACGTGATCATCTTTGGGTGACATCTCCACAGGGTGACCTTGACCTCAATGGAATTGGGCCCTGGGTCCACCCACACAGGCTCAAGAGGTGGAACTCCTTCTGACGGACGTCCAGTTGACCCTTGCATGGTATGTGTGTGTGCACGTTTGTGTGTGTGTGTGTGTGTGTGTGTGTGTGTGTGTGTGTGTGTACACCTTGGGAGAAAATGGGCCCAGGTCCAGGCAGGTCACAGTTCATGTTTAGCAGTTCTTAGAAACTTCCAAAGAAGGAGTGGGGAGGGGTTGGCAGATCCCGAGACCCAGCTTAGCAGTGGGGGTCCCACCTGCTTTGACTCAGGGCCCTGGGTGTTCAGTATAGGTCTGAGGTGACACACTGTTGGGTGGGCCCTGTCACAAGCTGGTTGGAGCCCCTTTCTGTTCACCCCAGAAATGGCTAGAAGTGAGGCATAGAAGACCTGTAATGGCACGTAAGAGAGTCTGACTCACTCTCCAGCAAGACTGCGGACTCCTGAGGATAGGGCTGCGTCTTCTAAGCACAAAGAATTCGGCTGAGAGGGTTGAACAAGCCCCTGGCCAATGTGCTGAATATCCTTCTCCCTACTGTTGCTTCCGATTGGGAACTTTTCCCCCACATATTTTATTGGKGCATTATAGTTGTACATAKGGTGGRGTYTGTTGTTACACATTTGTACYTGCAYACGATAYAACAATATRATTTGTCTGATATCATTTCCCATTATTTCCCCTCCCCTCCCCTCCTCCCTCCCCCTCCTCCCTTTGTTCTGGTCTACTGATCGCCCATCGATCCTCATGAGATCCCCCACCTCCAACACCTACCTTTCCTTTTTCCTCTCTGGCTTCCACATAGGAGAGAAAAYACACCACCCTTGACCTTCTGAGTTTGGCTTATTTTGCTTAGAATAATGCTCTCAAGTCCCATCCATTTTCYTGCAAATGACATASTTTTMTTCTTCTTTATGGCTGAATAAAACTCCATTGTGGATACACACCRCGTTTTCTTTATTCATTTGTTCATYGATGGACCTGGGCTGGTGCCACAGTGGCTGCTGTGACCTGTGCTGCTATAAACGTGTGTGTGCAGGTATCACTGTAGGATGGTGGCTTTGATTCTTCGGGACAAATGCTGAGGAGTGGCATAGCTGGGTCATCACAGGGTCTGGAACTTTTACAGTAGGTGAGGCTGATGGCAGTTAAAGCCACTCTGAAAGGGAGACTCAGGATGTCACACTACTTTGGTGTCTAGAAAGACTCTTGAGAAAAATGACAGCACYTTTTCCTGTGCTTACGAGAAAAGAAAATCAGTAAGTTGATTTCRCCAACTGAAATGGGATATAAAATGCCAATACTACTGATAAGGCTAATGCAGAGGTCTATCATCTAAGAATCATCTCTAATCACAGTGTTGGAGATCTCCAGCTCTGAGCTTCTCAAGCCTGGCTTCCCATGAGGAGCTCCTGAGAAGATTTTTACGCTTATTTTATTTTCATTACTAGGGATTGAACCCAGAGGTAGTTAACCACTGAACCACATTCCCAGCCCTTTTGTGTTTTTATTTAGAGATAGGGTCTTGCTCAATTGCTTAGGGCCTCACCAAGTTGCTGGCTTTGAATTTGCAATCCTCCTGTCTCCGCCTGCCAAGATGCTGGGATTATAGATGGGGATTACAGGTGTATGCCACCACACTCTGCTATTTTTTTTWAAATCTTGAGATAGGGTCTTGCTAAGTAACTGAGGTTGGCCTTGAATTTTCGATCCTCTAATCTTAACTTCCCAAATGGCTGGAATTACTAGCGTGGGCCACCGTGCATGGCTCCTAGGGAGCTTTTAAAATACACTGACTCCTTGACTCTGCCCTCAAATATTTGGATTTAACTGGTCTCTGTTGGATCTTGGACACTGTATTTTTTAAAGCTCTCTAGATGATTCCAGTGGACAACAGGGATTGAGGACCGCTGACCTAATCCCTCCTGGCCCCTCTCCTGACTTTATTCATGAGAAGATGAGATCTAGGGGAAGAAAAGAGGAGTTGTGCAGGGTCCCAGAGCCCGGTGGCCTTGGGGGGTCAGGTGGCCAAGCCAGCTTGAGACCCTCAGCTCCTGATTCCTGTTTGGATGGTTTCTTCTTCTCCACAGCAGTGAGTGAGGGTGGCAAGGCTCTTTCTGGGTGTAGCCTCTGCTGGAGGAGAGAAGGGGAGGGAGACCGAGGGTGCTGAATGATGGAGGAGAGAAGAGGAAGAAGGTAGCTGGGTGCAGAGGCCATGGTCAAGGTTGCCCCACTTTCCAAGGGTAGAAGGCAACCACTTCACCATCCTGCACAGCTTCCCCCAGAGGAGGAAGAAAGGAGTCTCGTCCTAAGGTTACACTCCGTGGTCATTGTCACAGCCTCCCCTGTTCCCAGCTTTGTGTCACTGTGAATGTGGCCACAGTCCCCAAACCCAGGTACGATTCCCAGCTGCACTGGGCTTGAACTGCTGCTTTACCCTGCCCAGGGAAAACTGCAGCTGACACAAAACAGCCACTCCCAGGGGACGGTCATGCTGAAAGGGCCCTGTGTCTTAGAGGCTGCACAAAACACCCAATTATCCCCTGACTCCCCCAGGGAGAGAATGGAGAGGTGAGGGCTTGGAAAAGCCAGCCTCCCTCCGGGTTCCATTAGGGGGAGCCTCACACAGGCACCATTCTCCTGACAGCCCAGAAGGTCACTGGGACACAGGGACACAGAGGCAGCTCTTTGGGACTGGGGGAACAGCCTCCCTCCCTGTCCCAGCCCAACCAGGGAACCCCAGCTTTCCTTCTTAGCTACAGAAAGGAAGGCAGAGGGAGCTGATGTCGAAACTGAGCATCACAGAGATGATTTCCAGCACCGGAAAGCACCGGAAGTCCAAGCCAGGACGGCCTGCTCTTGCCCAGGCTTGCTCTGGGCTCTGYGAACCCCTTCCAGTTGCTCCTGCCCCACGGTCCCACTTGGTGTCCTCTCAGCAGGCTGACCATCTCCCCCTCCACCTGGGGCTGTCCCCTCTGCTGCATTACTGTGTCCTCTYAGCCACATTAACTAGTTCTCGAAGGCAGGAAGCCCCCCAGCTATTAACACAGTTCTGGGCTCACAATACATCCAACTCCATAAATATTTGCAGAGTTGATTAGCAGATATTTGGAGACAACGACCTTTCCTCRTCTCCAAAGTTGAATCTCTGGGCTTTTATTTCACTCCAAGAAATATTTAAGTTTTAACATGGAACATACAGCTCATAAAAAGCATTTATTCCTAAATTCCTTACTTCCAGGAAAGAGGATCTTCCAGGAGTTAAGTGTATGGAGCCCTGATGTCTGAATGTAGAGCTCCATTTCTAGCCCTTCCTACCTGGGTTTTGCTGGGCAATTCATTTAGCCTTCCTAATCCTGTAAGTCCTCATCTGTAAAACAGAGATAATATTAGTGCTAGATTCTCCATCTGTTGTGACAATTAAATGATCCAATGCTGGTAATATACTTAATATGCTGTCCGACACATAGTAAGTGCTAGATAAAAGCAAGATATTGTTATTTATTGAGCCCCTACATCTTTGGGCCCAGGTTCTGGGCCCACGGAAGAGAATAAAGCAAATGTATGATTTTAAGACTTGTAATCTATGGGGAGCAGCCTTAGAGAGCCCACAAACTGCAGGGCCCTAATTGGAATATAGAGACATAGACAGGGTATTTTAGGGAGGGAAGAGCAAGAAGCCCAATCAGACTCCAGGAGGAAGGGATGGCTGAGTGTCGGATGCACAGAGGACTAGAGGTGGATGGGGTGGCAGTGCAGCAATGGAAACTGCATGAACCGGGGGAAAGAAACCGATCATGCCCGTGTGTGGGGATGGGGAATTGGCGGTTTGATGSTGCTGGAAGCAACAGAAGTCAGGAAGCAGCATGACGCTGGGCCGTTCTCTTCTTTCCCTTCTCACTGGTGTTGGTCAACAGAAGTGCCTCAGAGTGAGAGATGCAGGACGGAATACTTCCTCTGTGTCTGCCACCCATTACCTGAAGGATGAGAGGGAATCCACAGATGSAATCTACCCGGGACCTGAGACCATGCACTTGGCACTGTGTTCCATGCAAGCCCTGCACCAGGACACAGCCTGTAGAACACAATGGGGGCCCTCAATTCACAGAGCCTCTTGCCTGGGATTGCCACCCCCAACCAGGAACCCTGCTGGCCAAAGCCCTGGTAGAGGATCCATGCAAAGGCAAGCCTCCTGTCTCCCTGCATGCTCAGAGACCAGTGCAATGGTCACCTATCCTAGTCACTGTAGACCTCTCCACACACCACACTGAGGGATGAATTCACCAAGTTGGAGGACTCACACTGTAGGAGTGCCCTTTTATAGTCTTATGCAGAGGGTGGGGCCATGCTTGCAAGCCAGGTCTGCCCTCATTACCAAATAAGGAAATGGTCCAGCACCCAGGTCATATGCTTCCKGTCCTATTATACACTGCATCCTGAGGTCAGCCACTGGCAACAGGAGCAATGGATTCACAGAGGTGTAAAGGAAGWCAACCACACCTTTACCCTGAAGCATCAGACAATCCTGAGTCAGAATTCAGGCTCCACCTCTTACAAACTCCACAAATTAATGACCTCTCCACATCTTGGTCTCCTCCTTTGTAAAATGGACATGATAAGAATAGCAATCACACAGGAGTCTWATGAGGATTCCTATGAAATCATGCATGTAAAAAAATGTGGCACATATTATATATGCAAGAGAGGTTAACTGCTATTATTGATAATATGACTGCTATTACAAGGTTTAGTGCTATAATCCAATTCATGAGTTTTATTCTGTGCCAGGTACTTCAGTAGGTATTGGAGATACTAAGGCAAATTAGCCATGGCACTTATCCTCAGGGGTACATAGTCAGTGGTGGAAGGAGATAAATAAATGAAAAGATATCACAAATCCAGGCATAAGTACTATGGTGGAGGGAGCACAGGAGATGTCAGAACTCAGAAGGGAGTTGAAACCAAGGTGGGGGAGGGAAGGGGCAGGCAGTTAATGAATGCAGCTTGTAGACTGAATCCTAGAGAGTGCAGAGTACAAAACCAGGAAAGGACCAGGGGAAGCCAGGCATGATGGCACACTCCTATAATCCCAGTGGCTTGGGAGACTGAGGCAGGAGGATCATGCATTCAAAGCCAGCCTCGGCAACTTAGTGAGGCTTTAAGCAACTTAGAAAGACCCAGTCTCTAAATAAAATAGAAAAAGGGCTGTGGCTGTGGCTCTGGGTTCAAATCCCAATATCCCCCCCCACAAAAAAAAAAGGCTAGGGAAAAATGAAAAATAGCTCAAGGAGAATGTTCTAGGTAGTGAGAATGAGGACATGATTAAGTCTAYTGGCAAGTCTAGCTCACAGGCTATCCTGCCAATAAAAGAAAAATGTGGTTCGGCCAGCAGGATGCCTTCTGATTCAAAGATGGTGCCAGAGTAGCAGTTTCTATGCTCTATTAATGAGTGCACGTGGCAAAGCGTGACCATTGCCCACCAGACATCCACATTCCCCTTCTTCCTCACTAACATGACTCTGAGGGGCCGAGCGTGACAAATGGCCAGATGAAAATCCACTTCCCAGCCTCTCTTCAAATGGGGACTTGCCAATGAACTGTGTGTGTGAATTCTTTCTGGATTTTTCATAATAAACAACTCCAACATGTACAAAAGTACAGAAGCTAGTGTCAGAGCCTCCATGGCCTTCACAGAGTCGGAATAGCGATGGACACTTGGCCATTCTTGTTTCATCCATCCTTCCACCTGGGGTTTCTTTTTCCTTCCAGACTAATGTAAAGCAAAGGCCAGATGCTATATCATCTCCACTCATAAATAATTCAGTGTGTCTCTCCAAGAGATGAAAACTGTCTTTATAATATAACCAACCACAATACCAATACCATACCCAGCAGAGTCAACAGTTCCTTAGGATTGTCTAACACGCAGTCTGTGTTCAGTGGAGAAGTCTCCTTCATGGGACTAGCTTGGCAAGGGAACGGGGGTCCCTCTGCCCTTCTTCCCATCCCTCTACTGTAAGATGATATTCCAAGGGCAGAGCTCAAGTCACCACTGGATGACCATGAGCCAAGCTTAARGGCAGAAGCCACACCCTGGGGAAGGTAAAGCTGAAAGAGAAGCAGCTGGATCCTGTCACACACGGGGCCATCACCCTAACCTGAGACCACTGGGCTGCATTCTCTCTTGGTGTCTGTCTGTCTGTCTGTCTCTCTCTCTCTCTCTTCTTTCTTTCTTTCTTTCTTTCTTTCTTTCTTTCTTTGCTACGGGGGATTGAACTTAGGGGCTCTCGACCACTGAGCCCCATTCCCAGCCCTATTTTGTATTTTATTCAGAGACAGGATCTCTCGGAGTTGCTAAGTCCCTCACTGTTGCTGAGTTGCTGAGGCTAGCTTTGAACTTGCGCTTCTCCTGCCTCAGCCTCCCGAGCAGCTTGGGATTACAGATGTCTGACACTGTGCAACAAAGAAAAATTAATAGATTGTATTTTTTGAACACTTTTAGATTTGTAGGAAAATTAAGCAGAAARTACAGAGAGTCCCCCAATTCCCCCTTGCCAGCCCCCACAGTTTCCCGGGTATTAACACCATGCATTTATGTGGTGCATTTGTTATAATTGACGAGCCAATCCTGCTGCATTACTRTATACTAATATCTATGGTTCTCATCAGGGTTTACTCTTGGCACATTCTATGGGTTTTGACAAACGTATGACAGCATGTGCTCACTGTTACAGTATCATACAGAGTCCTACAGTGTCCTTAAATCCTCTGGACCATGCCTACCTGTCCCACACACCTCTGTGTGTATGTGTGCATGTGTGTGTGTGTGTCTATGTGTGCATGAGTGCGTGCACACATGCCTGTGTATGTGTGCATGTGTGTATGTGTGTGTGTGTGTGTGTGTGTGTGTGTGGTGTTGGGAGTCAAACACAACCATTGGCATTTTACTAATTGTATAGTTTTGCCTTTTCCAGAATGTTGTATTCCAGAATTATATAGTATGTAACTCTTTTAGATGGGCTTCTTTCACTTAGCAATATACATTATAGGCCTTTGGTGTCTTTTTTGTGATTTTGTAACTTTTTTTATTGCTGAGTAACATCCCATTGTCTGGATGCACTACAGTTTGTTTATCCACTCACCTACTGAGAGACATCTTGGTTGCTTCCAAGTTTTGGCAATTACACTGTAAATATTTGCATGCAGGTTTTTCTGTGGACCTAAGTTTTCAACTCATTTGAGCATCTACTAAGGAGCCCGATGACTGGATTGTAAGGTAAGAGTACGCTGAGTTCCATAAGAAGCTGCCAAACTTGTTTTGTATATGTGAGAAGAAATTTTTTTTTTAATCTTTTTTAAAGCCACTATAATTTGGATCTCTGATATGAGCAGCAAACTAACAATTCCTAACTGGTACGGTAGGAGTGTGCTTACTGCATGCTGATTGACTGGACAGAAATCCTTCCACCAACACACCACATATGTTTATCATCTCAATCAAACAGCCAGAAGAAAGTGCTCCTTCAGTTATATTATTATCCACCGGCATTTCTTCTTTCTTGTAAGATCAGGAGAGACTGTCAAATGTGAAACAAATCTATGTTGCTCCCCTCCTCTAGCTAGCTCTTTTAGCATTAGCAAGACAAGGGAGGTTGGGCGGGTCTTGTTATTTATGCCTTGTTAAGGCGTCTTCATCAATTACTTCTTGCAAACCTTTTGTTTAATAATCTGTTCCACCTGCCTTGGCATTTCTCTGGTCTTTATGATTTCACCAAGATTGAATGCGGTGATTTGAGAGTTGAACCAGCAAAGCCTTTCCTAGCTGGGATTCTTGAATGCTGAAGTGAGCAAATATTCCCCACTATCATTACCCAGTAATCAAAATCATTTTAGCAACTTGATTTGGCCTCATGCTGAGCCATAGATGTGTTCTGGGGGAGCTATATATACATCATATTGTTATAAATTAATTCCTATTTTAAATGAACAGGGAAGCTCATCACAGAAGTGGATAATCCAGTGAATCCTTTTATAAAGCAAATAATTCCATTATATGAATAATCACCCTCTAATTTAGTTCTTTATGAATATGAAACATTCAAATATTGACGGTTTTCGTTTTTTCTTACATATGGAAATTATAACTGAATGTTTGGTTGACTCAGTTCCTTTCTTCTTCCTTAACATCAATAACTTCTCCTCCACCTCTTTCTCCTCCTCCTCCTTCCTCTTCCTCTTCCTCTTGTTTTCCTTTTTCTTCTTCTTTATTGTTGCGTACTGTCACTAGCAGAAAGTCATGAAATTTTAAAAGTRTAGAACAGTGTAGTTACAAGTTGTCCACTCCATCCATAAGAAGGTTTTTTCTGTGCTGAGGAGTCTATAGTTCAGTGTCCACCTCCATCATGATTACCTCGCCATGGGATATTGGGCAACTCAGCAATTATATAAACTCTCTGAGTGTCAGTTTATTCATATGTAAAATGGGAATGATGATCATGCTTTACTCATTGGGTTGCTTTAATGATCACACGAGATAATGTGGAGTACTATGTGCTCAGTTTATGTCAGTTACTGTGATTTTTGCTATTAGTATAGTGGTATCATTAAGTGGTGGATTTAGAAGGCCCTCCCTTTAAAAAACAATCAATGCCTTGCCCCCATAAAGATGGCTGCTATCCAGGACAAACAAATGGAAAATAACAAGTGTTGGAAAGAATGTGGAGATATTGGWACACTTTGGCACAGTTGTAGGGATGTGAAATGGGGTAGTCACTATGGAAAACAGGATACRTTTTCCTCAAAAAGCTAAAAATAGAATTACCAATATAATAATCCAGCTATGCCATTCTGAGCACATATCCAAAAGAATAAACAACAGGAGTTCAAGGAGCTATTTCTACACCCATGTTCACAAGAGTCAATAGGTAGAACAACCCAAGTGTCCATCAATGTGTAAGTGGATTAAAAAAATATGCCATGTACATACATTGGAATATTATTCAACCTTACCAAAGGAAATTCTGACACATGCTAAAACATGGGTGAATCTTCAGAAAACTATGTCAAGTGAAATAAAACAGGTACCAAAGGACAGATCCTCTATGGTTTCCACTTCTGTAAGGCTCCCATAGAAGTCAACCCCACAAAGAGAGGAAGCAACATGGAGCTGCCCAGGGGTTGGGGCAGGGGAGGCTCGGGAATTTCTATTTCATGGACACAGTTTCTATTTTATAAAATGAAGAATTCTGGAGGAGATGGGATGGTGGTTGATAGTAGCACAGCAATGTGAAWGTGGTTAAGCCACAGCTGCACCCATAAAATGGTTAAGATGCTCCATGTTTATGTTATGCAAAAACTAGCACAAGTTTTTTAAAATGTAAAAATAGGGGATTTTTCTATACCTAGGAAATGGGAACATTCCAGGTGGAAGGAGCTAGCAGGGGAGGGAGAGTGACAATGTAGACTGGCTAGAATGTTCCTGAGGGCAAATAAGTTCTCTCTCCTTTCCCACCGTTGATGGGTGGGCCACTCAGACAGTGATTGCATTTCGCCAGGATCCCTCCAGCTAATTCCATGGCTGAGTAGCTTCCTCAAGCACAGCCTGGGTTAAGACCTGCGTCAGGATAACCACAGCTTCCAGAGATGGGCCCTGCCCAAGAAGCTGGCATTCAAAAATTATAACCCAGTTGAGAGCAGAAGGGTTCACTGGTGCCAGCTTCRTAATTAAATTACAAGGTGATTATTAGTCTGCTCGGGCAGGAAGATCACATCAGAGTACTTACTATAAGTAGCCTAAGACTAAAACTCTTCCCAGAAAAAAAAAATTACCTGTAACTAAATTAATACCATTTTCTACCAATTATAGATGCCCTCTAGTGACTATGAGGTTGCCATGGTGACATGCCCACTGAAAGGGTATGCTGGATAAGACCTGCAATAAAGGATAGCAGAAGGGACTCTTCCAAATCTTATCCCTGGGTCAAACCAAAAATGTTTTCTAGGGGTGTGGAGGGAGGGGACAGGAGAATTGTCACTAGCCTGCTTCCCCTCTCTTCTGCGGCCCTGTCCGGGGTTCTGGGCTGGTTGACCATTTCTGCCACTGCCCTACAAGGAGCTCGGCAGCCTTGGCCTGTCCCCTACATGGCTCTCTTCCCCTGGGATGGGCTCCCGTTCCACGTCAGCCGAAAGACATCTTTCCTAGTTTTTCTTCAAACTTCTTTACCTCCTCCTCCAAGCCGCCTCCCTTGACCCACTGGTGAGACCAGATTCCATTCCATCGTTTTCACTGGCACAAAAATTCACGCAAAGGCTTCTGCGTGCACCCTTCATTCAAGTGCCGAACTGATGAAGATATGAGAGAACTCCTGCAGGTGACGGAACACCTGAGCCACACGGACACCYCTCCGCAGGCATGTGCCAGAGAGAAGGCTGGGGGAGCAGAACTTGGGGATCAGATCTGAAGTGAGCTGCTATTTAAAGAAACGATGCTTACTCCTTTTGTAAAAGGAACAGCCATCTCAAAGTGACTTCAGTGCCAACTTCTGCTTTCCTGTGGTAGGTGCCTATGAGGACTGGAAACCTACCTTCAGTCCTTCCTGGAATAAGCAGGGCATCAGCAAATCTGATAATCAGCATCGTCGAAACACACACAGAGCTGGCGTGTGCCTGGGTTCTGCGCGTGTGAGGGGAGGTGAGAGGTCAGCTCCTCTTCCACCGAACCCCCAGAAGTCAAGCTGAGAGYGGGGACGGGGGAGGGAAGGCACTGGGATCTCTGCTGAGGCCAGGAGGGGGTCACGTGGCTAGGCCGCACCGTACTGTTTGTCAGAATGACCACTTATCAGCAAACCGACTTCACCTCCTGAGGTCACAGAATAAAGCATAACTGGTCCGATTTTTTCCTTCTCCTTCCCACCCAGTCTGTGCCTGGTACAACAACAAAAATAACCAAAAGATAAAACCTAGCCTGACTATATGCTAAGTGCTTTAGACGATCTCCTTCAATCCTCAGAGGAACCTGCTGCGATATGTTCTACTATTTCCCAAGTCCATAGAGGAMATGGTAACAGAGTGATTAGGTTGCCCAAGGTCAAGTGGTTATAAAGATGAAGGCAAGATTCAGCTCCTGGGCTGCTGGAGTCCAGTCTGGAGCCAGCTGCACTCCCTTTCTGGCTGGCCAGACTCCTCCTCCCTGTGCTCTTCCCCCTGGCCTACTAGTTCCCCGCCCTCAGCCCTGCTCACCCCAGCACATTCTGTGGCCAAAGCTTGGCTCTGCCTGCTCGTCCTGCGGATCTAACCCTGACACCGTAGCTTCTACGGTTGCTTTTTCCCTGAATAATCACTGTCTGTGTTATATATCTGGCTTGCTTCGCATTTGAATCTTAGACTGCCATTTCTGTTTAAAATGCATCTGTCATTTGGGCATGGTGCTGCAAACCTGTAATCCCAGCTGCTCAGGAGGCTGAGTTTAGGAGGCCAATTTAAGGAAATCTTGTCTCAGTGAAATTTAAAAAGGGCTGGGGATGTAGCTTAGTGGTAGARTGCCCCCTTGGTTCAATCCACCGTACCACAAAATAATAACAATAAATGATAATAATAATAATAATAAAATACATCTGTCTTCTGAAATAACCTATGAGGTTCCGTAAGCATAAATTAATGCCAATTTTTTTAATGTACTGGTCATTCATGATCTCTTAAGAGTAAATGGGTTGTGTGCACTTCATAAGTATTGAGACTAAGAAAAAAAGTTATTTAAGTGATTTTTCAAATATCTATAAAGACCTTTCAATAACACAGAAATAAATGTGTTTTTAATTTTATTAAGTAGAATGCAAAATGCATAAGCAATRCTATCTATTATAATCATACATAATAAGTCACGTGTCTAAAAATCTTAAAAGTTAAAAATACTAGGTGATAAATAAGTCAAGACAGACATAAAAACTTACTCAGATTTAGCTGGCTCTATCTTCATTATTTCCTGAAATCATTTTCATTATTAAAAAATTAGGAAGTGTGACAAACATTCAAATCTCAGAGTGTGGCGTGTGGGCCCCAGATGTGCATGCTGTCAAATCTGTCAGGGGGTGGRGAGAGGGGCAGAAAGAACATTGTGATATTGACTTTTATGTTAAAAATAGACAAAAAGTAAACTTCCCTAAGACCAAAAGGGCATTTGAATCACTAATCTGTAAAAAAAAAAAAAAATTAGAATTTTAAGAACATTTATTTCATCCTAGAACATCATTTAAAATGCTTCTATTGGTGAACATATAAAAAATTAAATGAATAATAGCCAAGAAAATATATTGTGTGGATGTGGGATTAAATCCTTTTGTGACAGATAAAGTAGATGAAGAGGATCACTGTTCTATGGCATAGGATCATCTGAGTCATCAAATATGCATAAACCTACACACACACACACACCTTCGAAGCCTTATTTTAAAAGAAAAAGACACCTTATTACTAAAGCACTAGTGAGAAATAACAATGTCCCCAAATGCTTCCTACACTGAAGGAGAGGTGTTTGCTGGGGGTCAGAGAAGCGTACCCTGATGTCTGAGATGAGGGCTGTGGCTAAGCTTGCTGGCTCACAGGCCCACACCACCAACCTACTGGCTGTGTGCCCTAAAGCAAATTCTTCACCCTCACTAGCCTCAGATTCTCCCCCACTGTCAACTAAATGAGAAAAAGCACAAAAAGCCTTTCCCTTTCAGCCTGGCTAATAGTAATTGCTCGATTAATATATTTGCTACTTTCTTTGAAAGGGGATCTAGAGGTTGCAGATGGTTCCAGGCAAAATTACTTTGCAGACATTTCAGAATAAGACTTTAGCAGACAGAAATTAAAAACCGGTTGAAGAGGGAGAATGTGAGATAGAAGAGGGAAGACATTTTCAGGAGGAGAGAGTCCTACCTGGAGGATTTACAGAGGACTGACTCCTCTCCCTGTGCTTGGTCTCTTTCAGACAGTTCTAGATGTGGGTCTTTGAATGATAAAGAATAGAAACCCACTCAACCTAGCACAAGTGAAAGGCAAAGATGAGGCTATAAGGGCACAGGACAATCAGGGATTCGAGAAAGGCTCAGTCAAGCAGCCAGTGACTAAGAACTAGAAAAGTTAGGAACCAAGCTGCCCTAGACATCTCCCCGGACCTGCATCCTTCTGCTCCAGATCCCTGCACTGCTTCTTCCTCTTGCACCTGGCCCATCTGTCCAAAAGCCTAGGCCCATCACCAAGGAGCAGAAGTTGTCAGTCTGATTCTTCAGATTTTTGCAAGAGTGAATCTGATTGGTTCAGATCGAGAGAGCCAGGCCAGCCTAGCCAATGGGGCCTTTGGATCAGGGGTACAGGGCAGGTCAGTTTAGCCTTGGTTGCCCTCCCTGAGGTGAGGGAGTCCATTTTTCTGCAGTACAGCCTGGAAACAAGGACACTTGTGTCTTGAAGAGATGTGGAGTGTATCTTTTTCCATGCCTCTCCAGGGACAAGGCTTTGGATGGCTCTCATGCCACTGGCCTGGGAGTTCTGACCTTTAACTCCAAGGGACCTGAGGAATGTCCGATGACTCACAGCCTTCAGACTTACTGTCCTTGAATGTTGCAAGACAAGATCTGCTTGCTTTATGTTCGTGGACTTTAGGGCTTTGTTTAATGAATATCACAAACCCTGCTCCACTGGAAGGAAACAGCTTAAAATTCATCTTTGGGGCTTCTCAATGTCACAGCTTGTTTTGCCAATGAGACTGTCAACTTCTTGAAAGGAGAATTTCAGATGTGGAGATAATCTTAGAGATCAGAGTCTCACTATCTCATTTTACAGGTGTGGAAACTGAGGCCGGATGGAGGAGATACAGCACCGCAGGACAGGGGCAGGTGGAACCTGGGACCCCATAGGTGCCTGGCCACCCCTCATGCATGGCCTGCTCCCCGTGAATACCCATAGTTTATTTCTCATTTCACTTTTGCTTTCCTTAAGCTTATCCTTCTCTCTTTATGGCCCTTCCTCCACCACCCATGTCACCTTCCACAATCACTTTGCATCTGCCTTTCGGGCAATGGTCTTTGAGGTTGTACAGTGGAAGCTGAGAGGAGACAGGGGTGAAATTTAACCCGGTTCTACGGCGCTGTTATCTCTCTAGGCCAACACCACAGTAACACAGCACAGACACCAGACTGGCAACCTCCTCCTCCTGCGAGGTCATCAGTCACCAAAAGGCACAGTGAAGCCATTCTTGCTCCCACCAAGACTCACTCAGGGCTTCCAGGCCAAGGCAGGGACTTGGGCCATGCTGGACTCCTCCAGATGGGAAGATCCAGTGCCTCTAGTACCTCCCTCCTTCCAGCCTTCTCTGAGCACTGCAGGCCTTAGTCCACTTTAAAGTTACTCTCCTGCCATGGGGCAGTTCATCTGTCTCCTGGGTGTCAGCCTGGTCTTTCAATTCCTGCAGGCAGGTGGCTTCTCACCCTCAGGACTCTGGTGGGTGCCCACCAGGCCTTCAATCAAGGTGAGGGGGCAAGGACACAGCTCAGTGGTAGAGCATGTGCTTAGCATGTGTGAGGCCCTGGGTTCCATCTCCAGGACAAAAAAAAATAAAATAAATAAATGTAAGGACTAATGGGGGTGCTTTCTCCCTGGAAAGGCCCTGGAGGGAGCAGAGAGACCAAATGGGAAGAAAGGAGAAATATTTCCTTTTGCTCCTGTCTGAGGCACGTGTGATTAGGAGAAGCAAATCTTCTGGTCTTCATTTCTTAGGTGTGACAAGTCAGGCAATTACTGGATACTCGACGCTCCGCTTACCCAATGCCAGTGTCATTTCCCCCCAAGACCCCTACTTCCTCCACTCGGCAACCAGCAGCTTTTCTGACTCCAGCTTGCAGGTTGGGTCAAGGCCAGCTACAATGTAGGGAAGGCCCAGTCTCAGAGGAGGGCCACCTAAACCCCGGCCTCCTACTTGGGAGCTTCAGTTTGAGGACCCACAGAGCCTTYCTCCCACAGTCCCCATTCTAGCCAGAAACGCCCATCATTAGAGGCTGCTCTGGAGAGCTTTCAGGAAGAGACAAAAACATCAGGGTCAGAGCAGAGGATCTTGGGAAGGTTAGTGAAGGCTTATCAGACTGGAGGTAAAGCAGAGAGCCGGCTCTGAGGACGTGAAAAGCAGGAGATCAATTTGATGGATAGCAATGTGGGATTTCAGGGCCCCGTCCAGACAGGCAGTCTTGGGTGGGGTGACTCAGTATGGGGGTCTTTGGAAAGCAGAATGGGGAGGGGGGGAATATAAATCAGCTGATGGGAGGGAGTGGTAGTAGGCCAAGACTAGAACTGGGCCAAGGTTCCCTGAGGACAAACCTAACTTATTTCCCACATTAGCACGGAGGCTCCACCCAGCCCACGTTGGGCTCCCTTCCTAGGACACAGGTTCTGCTGGTCTGAGTCTGCYGAAAGGAAAATTCAGGGCTCAATCTTATTGGCCTCAAAGACCTTGGGAATGGAAAGACTCGACCATTACTGAGCACCTTCCAGGTGACAGGTCCAACTGAAGTACATTATGATCATGGTTCTCACAAGGTCAAGAAAGCTGTTGAGTAAGATGCCAAAGGTCACCCCACCTGGAGGTTAAGTCAGCTTCCCAAGGTTGCAGAAGCGGGAAGGATTATGCTGGGGATTGACACCTAGGGGTCAGGCTAACTTGAGAGCCCTTGTCCGTACTGCCTGGTTCACCCAGGCCCATGCCCCCCTGTGGGGCCTGCCCTCCACAGATAGTTCACATTCTACACATTGCTCGGCCTCTCCTCACCTCTGGGGGTGTGGTTTAAAGCCAAAGCAAAGCCAAGACCCAGACAATTGCATTCTTGATTCTTTGCAGATGGCGGCCTATCACACAATGTGCAGAACTGCACTGACAACGAGGTAAGGAAATGAGAATTTGCTGAAAGGAGAGAATMCAGTACTATTAGTTAATATTTGGTAAACCCAGGAAATTGTCCAGATRTTAAAGTATAAAAATAACTCACTGCTGAGCCAATGAGGCATAAATGCTAAGAGGCACAACCCAGCGGGAGGAGTCAGGTGTGCRTGAATGCCTTCCTTAGGTGGTCGGGGAGGGCTGGGCCTGGCACCCAGACAACTGCCTTCAGATACCCACTGCACCTTTTGCCAGCTCTTGGCTAAGGAGGAGCTCTGCTGAAGTCTCTGGACCCACTGCCTTCCCCCAGCTGGGGAGCGGGGAGCTGGGGGCTGAGACACCCACCTTGACCTTGAGTCCAAGAATCAATGAGCCTCCCTCCACAGGATGTGGACCTACGTGGTGCTTTGCTTTCCACCAATGTCTGGGTGAGTTCAGGGTCCCAAGCCCAGAAGACCAGCTCTCCATACTAAACAAAATCCCATCCTTCCAGCCCAGGCCAAGCCCCACCTCTTCTGGGGATCCTGTCCCAGGCTCCTTCTGCCTTCCACATTCACCCTCTAGTCAGCCCCAGATGGCTGCACTAACCTCTCCCCCAACAACCTGCYCCCTTCTCTGTCCTGCCAAATCTCCAGGGCCTTCACAATTAGCTTTCTTCCCTCACATTTGGAGGCTTTGTGCCCTGTGGCCTTAGTGAGATACCAGCCCCTTCCTTTTTCTTTGTCAAAAGTCTTAGCAATTTTTTGCTCAAGTACCACCTCCTCCAGGAAGCATTCCCAGAGCCTCTTGGCTCCTCCTCCAGGGGTTCCATAGCACTTTGAGTTTATCCCTATGTTAAGTGTTGACTATCCCCTATACTTTCACTGACGGTGGCTCTTATACTAGACTGAACTTGAGGGCACACACTGAGGATCTTATTGTATCTAATTACAACAGGAGTGCCTGGTCTATGGGGAGTGTTCACCAAATGTTATGAGAACTAATCAGTAAATGGATTTCTGTATGTTCTATATATCCCAGTTCCTCCAATGCCTTCCTGACACCCCTGCCTGGTGAAGCTACAATATCATAATTCTCTTGAAGGCCTCCGTGCCAAGTTCAGTTTTAAGCAAAACTGTGGTGATTTGGTTAAGGGATGACTGGATTATGCACTGCATCAAATTCTTGTAGCTACCATGTCCCAGTCTTTAGCATGGCCAATGGAAAATAATTGGTTGCAAAGTGCATATCTAATTACAACATCCCGCCCCTGCCACAGAGATGCGCAAATGTTAATCATAACATATGCATCTCAATAACCGACGGTGGCACTGAATGCAGCATTAATAAAGCCACTTGCCCCCCCCCCCGCCCCCAGTGCTTACACAAAGCTCTCTTTTTTCTGCCATTAGAACAGGCTTTGCACTTTGCGCGCCTAAGTCCTCATCCTTGGAGCTTTCTTGACTCTAAATGTAGAGTTTCCCTGCCAGGCTGGACCGCGCTTCCGCCCCCACTGTAGAGGTCGCCACCCAGGCCTGCGCCAGCGCAGGGGATCGTTGGGCGACCTGTTTCGGCAGTGCTAGATTGGGCTGTCTCGGCGACTCAGGCGGCATCCCCGGCGTCCCGGCGACACCCGGCTCTCCAGGGCCCGCCATCCCGGGAAAGAAAGGCGAACTACATTACCCAGCAGGCCTCCCTCCGCTCTCTTCCCTTTCAAGTCTTTGCACGTGGCCGGAGGGGGAGGCGGGGCCTGGACGTCACTCTCCTACATTCTCTTTCCCTGTGTCAGAACCGGGAGCATTTTTTTTCCTTCCTCTACTCCCTCCCCCCTACCCGCCCCTCCCTCCCTCCTTCCCTTCCCTCCCTCCCTCCCCTTTCGGCTGGATCGGTGCGCCGGGGCGCCCTATCCCCTCCGCAGCTGGGACGCGCCGAACTCGAGGCAGGAGTAGGCTCTCGGGAGCCTGGTCCCTCCCTTCCCCTTCCCTGTCCCCTTCCCCCACCCCCGACGCGGGCTTGGCGCGGCSACCAGAGGAAACCCGAGGTGAGCATCCCTCGTCCGTCCTCCTTTAGTCGTTCCAGCTTGCCGATCGATTCGGGGACCCGGGAGGAGGGCTGCGTGACGTGCGCGAGCTTATAGATAAATCCTGGAAAACCGCCCCAAACAATTAGCACCCTTCCCCCTCCCTGCGCCTCAGCGAGCYGGCTGTCCGCACCCATCCACCGTCCCTCTCCTCCCTCTCTCTGTAGGGGACTGCACCCTACGATCTCGCCCCGTCCCTGGGTTTGTCCCATTCTCTGCCCCCTTTCCCCGCCCGGTGGGGAGCCGTGGCCCTGGAGCTCCGGAGCGGAGGGGGGTTCTTGGGGGACGGTCGGTTGGAGCGGAGTCGCGTTGGAGCGGCACAGTATAGCTGCTGTCATGTGCCGGGTTCCGACCCGGGGGGGAGGAAGCGAGCGAGCGTGATTCCTCTCCCTTTTGTTTTGAAGCCCGCATTTGCTGCAGCGAGCAGTTGGTTTAGTACCAGGCAAACTTGCAGCTGTTCTGATCTCGCTTCGCCGAGGTAGGGAGCGAGGTTCGGGATCGTGGCTCGGGGCCACCGGCTGCCGCACTCGGAGCTGCCGGAGGGACCCCGCGAGTGTGTCCCCACACCTCCCCTCCCTGCGGTGCTGACGGTTTGTGTCTGTGGCAGCGACCGTGTGTGAGTGTGCGCGCCGGTCCCCGCGTGCTCGAGGATGTCTGTGGATGGCCGTCGTCTAGACAGGCAGCAGATCCCTCCCTCCGTCCGCAGCCAGCCCGCGGGCCGTGGGGGGCGCGGGGGATGGGAGCAGAGGAGAAAACCGAATTGGTGGATCAACTGCGGTCGCAGCTTTGGCCATTCCCCACAGTTGGGATTCTGCTGGCTTTTATAATTATTATTTCCGTCGCCGAGGTGCGCTCGGACCTGGAGAATAGATAGCCTGGTCGTACCGGGGTTAAGTTGACAGGTTCTGAAAAGCCAGCTCTTGGTGGAGAGTGGCCCGAGAGGCTGCAGAGTGGGCTTGGCTCCCGTTCTTCAGGACAACAAGCAGGTGACTGTCTCGCCGCCGGGAATGGCGGGCGCGCGGGGGGAGGGGGGCGGGGCGGCGGCGGCGGCTCCGGCTGCTGCGGAGGTCTGGGGTCCCCCGATGTGGTGTGCGGGGTACCTGGAGGCACGGGAAGAGGCGACCTCTGGACCGCGCATCGGAACTGGTGGACGTTAAATACACGCGGGGGTCCAAGTCCCGGCCCGTGCAGGGTAGGCTGTCTGGCTTCGCGGAGTTTTCAGGGCTGGGGCTGGGTGTGTGTGTGAGCCTGGAAGGGGGCGCGGCGGGCGGAGGGGAAGGATGGCTGGCGGCGCCGTGTGCGTCCCTACCCCGGGAGCGAGGCGTCGCCTCCCCCGCCCAGCTGTTTGTGTGTGTACACACTGTTCAGGCGTGGCGTGGGGGGCGGGGCACACCGCGGCGTAGTGGGGACCCGCGTGGTCGGGATCCTGCGCGGGATCGGTCCAGCCAGCCGCTGGTGGCTCGAGTTGGACTCGCTGTCAGATGTGGTTCCACGCGCGCGCGCGCGCGCTCCCGGGTTACTTGGAGAGGAAATCTGAGACTCTGGGCCGGGGGACGCCCTGGGGTCGAATGTGCTCGTCAGAGGTGCGGGAGTCCCCTGCTCGCAGTACAGCCTCTGCCTCGGTGCTCCCTACGTCCCCTGACCCCTCCAGCTGTCTGCCAACCCCAAGGCGCAGGAGGCTGGTCTGGCGGGGCTGGGAGAAGCCGCGGGCGCGCGCGTCGCCGCCCCCGCCCCCTGACACGCTAGTTGACCCTTGCACCGAGACGCCCTGTGGGTGCGCGTGCCCGTCGCTGTCTTCCAAGACCTTGGAGAGAATCCGCGCGCTCAGAGCCTTTCCGCCCCCCGACAATTCTTAAGTCTGGGGACCAAAGACACCCGGCCCTGCAGCCCAGGCCCAGCCCGCTGCAGCCCGCAGCTCAGCCGGCCGCTCGCAGCTGCCCGCCATTCCCTCGCGCGCTGCGCTCCATCTCAGCGGCCCGGGATTATCTCCCCAGCTAGGGGTCCGCTCCACCCCGGAGGAAGCTGCCGACTCAGCGCCGGCTGGAGCTTCCGCAGGGTGAAAGTGACACAGCACGAGTGTCACTGTGCGGAGCTGGAGAGGAAGGAGCCGCCCAGAGTGCGGGGAGGGGCACCAGGCTGGCCGCCCTGGTTCCTCCTGCCCAGGGCTGGGACTGGGCCGAAAACCTCTGGAATCTCGGCTCCCAGCAGGCCCAGGCCATACGAGGAAATTGCTTGAATTTCAAGACAATCCAATTATCCAGGAACAGAATGCCCCCTCAACAGATGCTTGAAGGCCGCCAGGACTGGTTTCCAAGACCCCAGGAAACTCCCTCTGAGTGTTTGAAACAGGATTCCACTTACACACAGACCACCTCATCTGTTGTGTCAAGTGTCTGTCCTGGATTAGGAACAGCTCAGAGGCAGTAATTTTATGGTGCGTTCTGGGGTACAATGCCATGCGTGATTCACAGATTGCTAGAATTACAATATGTCTCTACGACTTTCCAGGGCTTAACCCTTAATTGCACTTATTAAAAAGATGTTGAGGGAGGGGAGTACCCACCCCATTTGTAGAGGAGGGCACTGAGGCTCAGCAAGAGATGTGACTTGCCTAAGGCTTCAGTAGGGCAAGGGCAACTTTCCTCCTTTGTGATTTTTCTTGGCAGCCTATAGCTTTTTATTTAAATTAGGACTACTTTTATTTATTTTTTTATTTTTTTGAGTGGGCCCTTGATGTCTTAGGAAGAACTGAACCTGAGCAAGGGTAAATGAACACTTTTGACTTGCTAACAGTTCCAAATGAAAATAGCCATTAAAGACCAGAAGTGTTATCACTCATCTAAGAATTTGCTGTTGAGGAGGGCACACAGCTGTGAGGTATCCAGTAGATGCCAGCGTATAACAAAGGCATGTGACGTACATGTTTCTGATTCTGAAACGTATGTCCATGTTGATAGGGGTGTGTTCAAGGACTCCTTATTGAATACAAGTTTTCTTCTGTAATAACCGGTTTCAACACCAACAGATTTAAAAAAATGTAGATTTCCTGAGAAATCTTCTCAGGTTATTCTTCTTATCTCCCTCCCACCCCCAGGGATGGAAAAGCCCAGAGAACAGCAAAGAACTCAAACGTGCCTTTGGGAATTCCTCAGTTCTTACATGTGAAGGGTCCTCAGACATAGCCCRGAGGGTTTGGGGCTCATCATCTAATCAATCATTCATTCACAAATATGTATTGGGAACCTACAACTTTGAATATCTAGAGGGGCATACCAGAAAATTGATCACATGGTCTCTGCTGTGTATTAGATTTGAAAAATGCATTCTAGGGGTAGAGATAAAGGAGAGAGTTTAATCCCAGCAAATGTTTATTAAATATCTGTTTAGGCTAGATGACTCATTGTTCGGGGCACACAAAGGTGGTATGGCAGAAATAGTTAAGTTACAGTGCAACAACAGAGCCCCCAGGAAGGACTAAGTCATAAATATTTCAGAGCACTCACCTGGGATGCAGTTGGTTTCACATATGTTGGTTGCAAAGGGCCTGTCGTGCTCCTTCTTATCTTAGAGCAAATGCAGAAGGCAGCAATGGCACGAAAGGCCCTTATGTCCCTGTTCCGCTGGACTCCTGGCTGTTTGGAATCTCGAGGGTGGGCCCGCCGGTATGTCCTTCTGCAGAAGGTAGTCCACTGCTGGCCACTTATGGTGAGGCCATCCAACAGGTTCTTCTGAGCAATGAGGAGCTGTTGAAATGTGCKCCCTGGTTCTTCCCCAGCGCTGATATCCTGTGATTCAGTGAGAGGCCGAGCAAGGTCTCCCTCAAGCCCTGTCTAGTGTGGTACTTTCACAGGTTGCATAGATGTTTTAGTGTGGGGCTACCCTTTATCTATTCCAGATTCACTTCTGTCATCCGTGACATTGTTCTTCACTTTTATTTTAATTTGGGGGTCCACTCCTTTGTTTTAAGGTTATATTGTTTACTGCTCCCATCAGAAAGGAAGACGCAGGAGGTGGGTGGTTAGGATGGAGAGAGAATCCTGCGAGCAGATAGACCATGAGGTACAAAGAGGCAGATTGCAGGTCTTTGTCTTGTTTTGTTTTGGTACTGGGGATTGAACCTAGGGGTACTTTACTGCTGAGCCATATCCTAGTCTTTGCTGAGGCAGGGTGTCACTAACTGTTGAGGCTGGCCTCCAATTTGTGATCCTCCTGAGATTATAGGCACACACAAATTGCATATTTTGAGGATTCTCCAAACTCTCGATGGCAGTTCTGTGTAACTTACCTGATCGCCTGGCAGCTGCTTTTGAAGTGTTTGGAGAGGGGCTCTTCTCCCCACCACTGGGCTTCCTGCTCATTYTTGGGCCCTTGAATCAAGCTGCTTACTTTCAAGCTTGGTTTTTCTTCCGCTGTGTTTCTGAGCTGTTTCAGAACAGGATAAGAACAGACCCTCCCTTGGATCCTAGGCACCCAGAGCCGGGCAGGGCCTTGCTGATGACTTAATATGAAAGCTCGGAGAAGTGAAAAGCCTGRCCCGAGGTATTTGTGAGCCCTTTTGTGGAATGGGGAAAGAAAGCCTGGGTTTTCATATCTCATCCCATATTTTTTCTCTAGGTTAGATGCTTACTGGAAAGAAGTTGGGTCCTTATTTCCCAAAGAGCAAGAGCCCTTCATCTTCATCTTTTTCCTTGGTCTCTGGGAAGGCTCTGGAGTTCATTTGTGACTTGAGGTTGCTCTCCTTCAAGGTTGGCCTTTCCTGCCTTCTGTTCCATCTTTGGCTTCAGGAATGAACGAGAGCATGGATCTGGGAGAGGCCAAGGGCCTGGGGCTTCCCAGTGCTCCTGTTTGCTCTGTGGCTTTCTAGCCCCGCGGCAGTGTCCTCAGAATCTCCTGGAAGGGTTTGACAAGCTGTCATGTGCATTTGTCTAGGAGTGTCCATAGCTGCCATTTGCTTCTCCACAGACACAAACCATGGGAGGAGGAGGGCAGGGGTGGGGGGGCTTGGTGGGCACAGAGGACGAATCTACCTACGCTTGACTTGACTTTCCAGTTTGCCCAGTGCTCACACAACTCACCCCATCTGCCCTGACCGGGGGCTGTTGTCTTTACCAGCACAGCAGACTGTCATCATGGTCTTCATGTTGCAGACGAGGAAACTGAGTCTCTGTGGTTAGCGACTTGTCCAAGTCACAAATAGAAAGTCAAGCAGGGATCTGAACCCTGGTCCTCAGACTTCAAAGTCTGCCCATCTGACACTGTCATGATGGTTTTGAACCTTTAGAGCGTCTTTGTGTCTACCTTGACACATCCTGCCATGGACCTAGTTAGATCCAACTGCTTTCTTTCCCAGGGGGCAAGAGGGATGAAGGATGGGAGGCGGTTACCATGGCGATGGAATGTAGAGTGGGGCCAGTTGGGGATGATGTCATGGAGGAGGTAAATTTGGAAGTCAGTCTGGTTTTGTGGGGTAAGAGGTTTGGAGCTGGGGCAGTGGCCCAAAAGTGATTAAGGGGAAGCTGCATGCATGGGGCCGGGACAGAGCAGACCAAAGAGCTTTGGCTGGTCATCGTGCCGGAGCAAGAGCTTTTCAGTAGTTATTGACCTCTGGTTCCCCGCCTGCTCTGTGCTAGGTTCCTGGGCTTCAACAGGGCTCAGCCCCTGCCTCCAAAAGCCCACTGTCTAGTGCGAGAGGTGCACTTTTAACTGTTCAATTCCATGTGAGCCCAGTGGTCGAGGAAAGCCCCCGGGTCTTACAGCAGTGGATGTGGGGCACCTGCAATCACAGAGGGCTTCCTGAAGGAGACCGTTCAAGAGCTGAATCTTAATGGAGGAGAAGGAACTAGCCAGGGGCAGGACATTCTGGGAGAAGGCTCGGCCTGCCTGACTTTGAGAAGGAACCGCATGCAGTGAGGTCAAATGCAAGGGCGGCAAGGCCGACAGCCTCAGAGCAGAGGAGCGGCGTGAGCTTGGCCCTGGGTCCTGAGCAGAGCAGAGATGTGCAGCCAGGGATCAGAGAGGAGCATGACCAGGAGCCGGGCAGCCTCTGGGCTGACGAGATTCCAGATGGTGTCCAGGTCTCAGGGATGGAGGCCCTGGCTGTACACCTAGGGATGGGCCAAAGGCATGTGGCACATATGTGTGTGGAGTCAAGTCTGTGTGATTGCTTAGATTTGGAGGATGAGGGAGGTGCCCCGGAGATGCCCAGGTTTCGGGCCTCACCGACTGGGCGGATGGCAACCGAGGTGGGACCTCTGGTTGCCGGAGGGGGTCTGCCGATGGGGGGGTGAGAAGGAAGATGGTGGAGAGGGCGCTGTCTTGGGCTTGGATTGGGCATCACACAATGCAACACACTAGGGAGAAGCCCCAGGAAGAAGAGTGGGCAGGAGCCAGGGTGCCCAGAGAAGGGAGCCGCCTGCCACACAGTGTGACAGGAGGGGGCTACTGGGACAGTACGAGCAGACCTCTTCCTCCCATTGTCAGAGAATCCTTTGTCACACAGCCCGGCAGCTCAGGGGAGCCTGGTGGGGGGGATGCTGTGTCATGCCGGAGGACCAGCTGGCAGGATCTGGCGACAGTGAGAGCCAGCCTCAGCTGCAAGCACTGGAGTGAGTCCGGGCAGCAGCGTTTTAGGTTTTCGATGTCCACAGGGAGCCAGGCCTTGCCTTGCCTTTGTAGCGTGAGTCCAGGGTGGGAGACGGCAGCCTCTTCCAGGAGAGGCGTAGTCGGGAGACAAGCCGTGGGCATCCAGCGCCACTAAAAAGCCATCCCAGGCTGGGCCGAGAGAAGACTGCAAATGAAGCAGGAGAGCGCAGCGGACACTCTGCTCTGGCTGCCCACATGGCCGGGGCTGCCCATAGGCCTGGCCAATGTTTTCACGTTGGAATTCCCAGGACCTAAAACAGTGCCCGGCACACATTGGGTGCTCAGCATCCCCGCACGTGCCCCGGGTGAGTTGTCTGGGGCTGAGGTCCACCAGGGAAGGCTTCCCAGAACGGGCTCAGGGGGTGTCTCTGACCCCAACCTGGAGTGCTCAGTTCAATAGAAACAGAGATCAGGAGCTTCCCAACCGCAGAGCCTGGAGATGCGCAGGAGTGCCGCCAGAGGAGGAGCCCGGCTCACAGCTGAAGGGGAAGCCGACCCTCCAAAGGCCAGTGGAGAGCAAGTTCGGCCAAGCCTGGGGCAGGGGGGATGTTGGAACCCCCAGGGGCTGAGTCCTGACAGTCCCCTCCAGGACTGGAACGGAGACCAGGAATTGGAATGAAGACCCTTTGCTTCAAAAGGGCACGGAGCCGGTTCCTGTGCTTGGAGGAAGCTTCAGCTGGACGTCTGACCGTTGGCATGAGTGCCCTGGGCGGATTCCCATGGCCACTGGCCCCCCAGACCATGTCTGCTGTGTCTTCCCCGTGTCTTCAGGTCCCACGGTTTCAACTTGGGAGATGTCATGGAGGCCACTGGAAGGCAGCACCCTCCCCCTTACCTGAGCCTCAGCCTCTTCCCCGGTCCTGTCCCCAGGGACCCCACAGCCGCAGTGAGTCCTCTCGCCATCCTTCTGTTGCTGCTAGTTGGGCCTCAGTTTGTCAAGCTAAGATTGAGAACCGGCCCATTTCTGTCCCCCCTAGCTCAGCAGAGGGAGCTTGGGAAGACTGACGGCTGCGGCCCCGGTGCTCTCTAGGATGTCCTGAGCAGCTTTGGCCTTGGGTTTTTCACGTGGTCCCAGAGGAGCGGCGGCAGCAGACGCGGACTCCTTCTTCCAGCCTCCAGAACACATTTCAGCATATAAGTCAGTGGCCCGGGAATCCTGTGCACCAGCTGACGTTCAGTGAGTGTCTATTATGTGCCTGGCTCGGGGCAGAGCACTCTGTGTGGCTCGCTAAATGGAAGTAACATCTGGAGGGGAGACAGAGGGGCAGACACGTGGAAATGCCTATCTGCGGTGGCGACAGTTGAACCTAAAAGTTATTCAGAAAGAATGTGTGTGGTTCATTCAGGGCGGAGTGGGGGTGGGGGAGCTGCTGTATGGCCCAGCTGCTTCCTTATAGGGCCTTCCCTTGGGATAGGCAAGATCCTGACGTCATCGCCAGCTGGGAACCCGCAGGCCTTTGCTGTACACTTGGGGCATTTGCTGAGATATAAGTTGAAATCATGAGATCAAGAAAGCAACCTTCGATGGAACTCACGTTGGTCTGCCCCGACCCCGGACGCTGGTCACTGTCAAGTGGTTTTGGAACATGCAGTGGACCTGTCCCTCAGTGGCCGTCTGCAGTGTCCTGAGCTTTCTCAAGAAGCAGGAAGGTTTTCTGCCTCTGCACCTCTCTGCATCAGCCAGCTGGTTGGGTCTGAGTGGCTCACATTCACCAGGTGCCTGCGCAGTCGGGTGGCATCAGCTCTGCCACTTCCTGCGGGACCCTGTCCTGATGGGGGCGGGTGGTGCGGGTCAGGGGTTCCGGAAAGGCACTCAGTCTCCCCTTTTCCTCCTCTGTCCACATTCTCCTGGTTTTGCCTTGATCCTTTGAGCCTAAGCCTCTTACCCGGTCAGCGTTTGGTTCAGGTCAGCGCATCTGCCGGGCTCGCTCCGTAAACAAGGTGAGATGAGTGGCACCAACCGGGCAGGATCCCCGCTGCGCCTTCCCATCTCGGCTGGGAACAGAGTAGCCTCGMGTTAGTGCCATGTGGTCAGTGCTGGGAGAGGGGGTGAGCAACCAGGAGGGGCTGTACTTTAAAAAATCATAATCCAATGCACAGTAGATGTTGGGGTGCAGGTGTAGACGGAGACTCCCCTGGGAAATGGGCTCAGGGCCACAGGGTCATGGGAGTGTGTGTGTGTGTGTGAGCCACCCCTGATACTCCAGAGGGTCAGTTACGCTGCAGGGTGCACATGGGGTTGGTGGCTAGGGGCTCGTRCCCAAGAGGTCAGCATCTGCTCCCGTTTTACACAGGGGGCTAGCGAGGAAGCGTCCCCTGTGGGGACAGGCACTCAATTCAGACATGGCTCAGTTTACAGCCACAAGCTCTATCTTCTGTCTCCTGTGATCCCAGTTGTGGGGTTAGGGTGGAAGTAAGGAAAGATTAAAACCCCTGGCTTGTGGGATGTCACTGGCTAAAGGTAAAAGATCACCGGACTARTGGTGGCTTTAAAAACAGGGTATTTGAACTCATAGCCAGGAGTCTAAAGGGGGGTCCTGGGGTGGCTTACTTCAGTGGATCAGTGAAAATGCCAGGACTCGTCCTAACCTTCTAGGCTACCATCCACAGCCTGTTGGCTTTGTCCTCAAGTCTGTCTCCTGTGGTCATAGCAGGGCTGCCATTGCTCCAGTCATCGTATTCTCATGTAACTCTCCAAACTCAGGCGGGAAGGCGAGTTTCTCCTTAGGTGTCTTAATTTTTCAGGGAGAGAAACCTTTCTAGAATCCTCCTGCTAGGATTTCCTTCAAGTCCCATTCAGGTCTCCACTTGGCCACCACGAAGCCCAGGTGGAGAACCCGGGGCAGACCCATCCAGAGGGCGGGAGGATGTGTGGCTGGCGGCCTGGGCGGCAGGAGCGGACGCCTGTGGGTCGGTGACGGAGACAGCAGTCCCCTTGGCAGGCGGCTGTGGCACTGAGAGGAGCTGCTCTGCTGGGGCTGGGGTACCTGCAGGCTGGGGAGGTGGCGGGGTGCCACCGTCCCTCCCTGAACCACCCCCACCATGTGCAGGAGCAGCCCGGGGCTGCTGGTCAGGCAGCCTCACTCCTTCCCTGGACAGTCCATTAGGGCAGAAATCACCCCACCTGTGCCAGGCTGTGCTGGGTCTGGGGGGGTGCAGGTGTGGGGACAGGGTGGCCAGTGGGGTGCCGGCCATGCACTCTCTTCCTCTGGGTGCGACACAGGAGGCTGACCATGGCAGTAGGAGGCACAGGGAGGTGGCCTCGGGCACGGCACACTGGAGGCCCAGGCGGAGCCACAGGCCTGTGGTGGTGACCTCCTGTCTCTGTTGCCCCTGAACAGGGGAGGACAAGGTGGGGAGAGGGCAGGCTTGCCCCGGGATACAGACTGAACCGGTCCCTGGGCACAGAGGGGACAGACCCCACCTCCAGCAGCCCTGTTCTGGGCCTCCCCACGGGCCTCATGGTTTTATTTACCTGGTTAGAGGCAGGTTGCTCGATGGGCCTGGAGAGATCTGGACTGTGGAGCCGTGGTGAGCCTTTCAGAGTCCCCGGCTTCCAGGGGCCTGCTGACCTCTGCAGCTCCAGGAGCCCCAGCCTCTGTCTGGCTCTCGGCCTCTGGGGAAGGGGCCCTGGGGTTGGGTGGGCCRGGACCCCTCCTGCCTGCTGCCCACCGGGGGGCGGGGTGTCCACGCTGTACCGAGCCCCGTCTCCTCCCGGCCGGCTGTTGTCAGGGTCACCAGGGCCATGGCTCCTGTGTTCCTGGGATGGTGGGGGGGGGGTCTGCAGGCTGATGACCTAATTCCCACGGAGACCTGCAGGAAGAAGACCGGGAACGCACCCAGGTCACCTGCTGACAGGCCAGGGGACCCGCCTTTCTGAGCCTCTGGTCCTCTGGAGAGAAGTGAGTTGTGTCCAGCTTCAGGGAGCTCCCGGCCCTCAGGAGCTGGCTCCGTGGCTGGTGTCCAACATGTGTCCGGTGGCCTCCCAGGCCAAGGGGGGCACAGGGACAGAATGGGCCTCCCCTCGTGTGTTGGCCCTCGACAGGTGGCAGAGCTGGGCAGGAGCAGGACAGAGCCACGGCCCCCGCCAGGCTCTCCTCTCTGCAGTTCCACGCTGGCACTGCCAAGAGACCTGCCCCCCCGCCCCCCCCCGCTATCTGGGAGATGGAAGATTCTAGAAATTTGACCTCATCCCAGATCCAGCAGCTGGGAGGGACCTGAGGCTCTTGCCTCCTTCTCGGTGGCCTCTGGGGGACGGGGGCTCTCTGCCTCACAGCCCAGGCCTGACCTGACGACAGGTTCTTAGACGGAGGTGCCTCGGAGCCACACGACCGCGTGTCCCACCTCTTCCAGGGCCACTGAGTATTCAGAGCCTCAAGTCTTGACTTTGCTGCTGTCTCTGGGTTTCTCTTGAGGCCTCCAGAACCTACCCTGGTCCCCTGGACTCCCTTCTCTGCATCTCTTACCAACGTTCCTCCCCACAGGGAACACTGTGCTTGAGGTGTGGCCTGGGAAGTACAGGAAACAGGCCACTGTCACCTTCCTCCATTGGAGCATATGCTTCTGTTAATGTGGCCCMTGACTTACCTTTTCCAGGAGCAGCTTCTGGGTGAGAGCTACCCCTTCTTTTACCTCCTGCTGTAATAGTCTGTGGCACAGACGTTTCCCCAGCCTGGCTCTTCCCGGCCCTGATGAGCAGCCTAGGCCACCTCTGCCCAGACCCTTGAGTGGTCCAGGAAGCTGGGGGTCAGGGTGTGCGGAGGCAGTGAAGTTCTGGAGGGCTGGCTCACTGGCCAGATCAAGAAGGTGCCCACTCCTGAGGGCCGGTGGCGGTCAGGACCTGGCCCCTGTGCGAGGACCGCTGCTGTTTCCTTGGCCTCTCGGCCTCTGGAGTCAGCTCTCTTTGCCCAGGAAGCAGAGCTAAGGTTTGGCTTCTCACCTTTGCTCAGTTTGCAGGGACCCTGCAGGGACGTGCAGGTGCTGGTGGCTTCCCTGGGCAATGGAGGGAACGGCTTTTCAACTGAAGGCCGTCTGGTGGTGTTCAGGAAGCGTCTGGAGTGTGTGTGGGAGACACAGGGCTCAGCTTGGGGACCAGGGACAAAGGAAAGGAAGACTCATTCCTGTTCTCAGGAGGCTTCAGCCAGTGGGTACAGGGAGCCCTGTAAGTGGACAGCAGGGACGAGGAGCCCTGTACGTGGACAGCGGGGACRGGGAGCCCTGTACGTGGACAGGGGGGACGAGGAGCCCTGTACGTGGATGGCAGGGACAAGGAGCCCTGTACGTGGACAGTGGGGACAGGGAGCCCTGTATGTGGATGGCGAGGATGGGGAGCCCTGTACGTGGACGGGGGGACAAGGAGCCCTGTACGTGGACAGTGGGACGGGGAGCCCTGTACGTGGACAGGGGGGACGAGGAGCCCTGTACGTGGATGGCAGGGACAAGGAGCCCTGTACGTGGACAGTGGGGACCGTGGGCCACGGGAGCCTGGCTCAGGCTTCCTCTCTGCAGGAGGAGGTGGGCAGGGGCCTGGTCCTCCACCGGCCACTCCTGGAAGCCTGCGGGTCTGGAGCTCGTCTGTCTCTAAGCATCCAGCCTGAGGCTGTCACTCCTGAGCCACCTGTTGGTCTTGTCTGACCTTAGCTGCCTGGACACCTTCTGGCCATGGGGGTGGGGGACATGGCTGGCCCTCGCCCTGCGTTGCCTCCGCAACATCTGACCTGGACGGGGCCTCAGCTGACCATTGGAAGGAGGAGAAGAGGGGCCCGTGTCAGCCCAGGGAGGGCCRTGGGGGTCCGAGGCCTGAGAGATGGGACCCTCGGGGCCTCTACAACCCACTGAGCCTTGGGAGTTCCACCGTGTCCCTGCTGCGGAGGGCGAGGGGACTCAGGCGTGTCATGAACCCCAGCCACAGCTGCTGGATGAGGGGTGGCCTGTGACCAGGGCCAGGCCYGCTGGTGACCTTCCYTGGGATTTGTGAACTAGCCCTGAGAGGGAAAGCTGCTTCCCTTCCTGAAGATGGAGACCTGGTCACGTCCAGTCCCAGGGGGAGGAGCCCGTGTGGGGACACTGTGGGGACAGAGTGCCATGCCCGCATTTGAAGAGCACTGGACTCACAGAACCACGGCTGCCGCTCTTGTCGTCTTCGGGTTTGGTGTTGCGCGTGGGCCGGGGTCTGCAGGCTGCCCTGGTGAAGCCCCAGAGTGGCCGGGGTCAGTGGTGTGTGCAGCAGACACCTGTTTCTTCAGGATCCTGKGGGCTGGAAGGCGTCACATCAAGGTGCTGCCCCTGGGGTTTCTGGTGAGGGCTCCTTCCTGGGCGCAGAGGGCTGCTGCTTGCTGTCTGTGCCCAGGGACGGAGGCCACTCCCAGTGTCTGTCCCCACAGGGGCACCAGCTCCCTTGTATTAGGGCCCCAGCCCTCTGAGCCCACCGACCCCTTATTATGTCCTTAAAGTCCCCKTCTCCACGTGCATTAACAACGGGACTGGGGACTCCGACATGTGGTTGGAGGGGGCCGTGACTCAGTCTGTGACAGTCTCCCTTTCTGTGCCTAAAGAATGTCATCCATGCTGCTAAGAGGGACATAGGGTGATCTTCAGTTGATGATTTAGGAACGTGCAAACAAATTTAAATCCATGGATTTGTTTAAATGTGCATTAAAGAAAAAACCCGAGGCCAGTCCACGGTGACCTTCCCTGGGATTTGTGATTTCGTTATC